GACAAGTTTATCGTATTGTACCTCGACGGTAGTGTAGTAGGACTGTAGAGGAGCACGTTGAGCACTTAAAAATAGTGCTAGGTCTCCTAAGACAGCACCAGTACAAGGTAAACTTGGAAAAATGCGAGTTCGGCGCACCAAGATCTTGTACTTGGGTCATGAAACCTCCGCGGATGGGTTAAGGCTGGACGATGCCAACGTGGCCAGCATACGGGGCTGACCCAGGCCTCAGACCGTTACTGAGGTCTGATCGTTTTTTGGGGATGACAGACTATTATCGTCCGTTTGTTAAGAACTATAGTACTATAGCTTCCCCATTAACAGATCTAACTCGACTTGACACCCCTTGGGAGTGGACTGAAGAGTGTGAAGTAAGCTTCAGGGAACTGAAGTATGCTCTGACACACTACGAAGTTCTTAAACTTTCGGATCCTGATAAGCCATTTGTCGTGACCACAGACGCCAGCCGATATGGCATAGGCGCGGTCCTTGCGCAAAAGGAGGGGCCAAAGATGAGACCCATCGAGTATATGAGTAAGAAGATGCCGTCTCAAAAGCTAGCAAAGTCCACATATGAGCGTGAGCTCTGTGCCCTCTATAGAGCGCTGGTCCATTGGAGACACTACCTCCTAGGCAGGTTCTTCTACTTGAGATCTCACCATGAGACATTGCGCTGGATCAAGACACATCATGTACTCTCTGACGCACTTAAGCAGTGGATTCAAGTGATAGACATGTATGACTATCAACTTGATCCAATCAAGGGAGACTACAACAAAGTGGTTGATGCACTATTACGAAGGGCAGATTATCTAGGCGCACTAGTGACTGAAGGGTATATTTAACGATGTAACTCGATCCTTGGTGGAATCCTATATCAGCAAGATACAGTCATGTCTGAAATCATTCCTAGATTTCAAACGAAGGATAAGGTAACCTCGGATGAATTTACGATGGTAGATGGCTTACTGTTTCTTGTGAAGGCAGGAAATAAAAGACTGTGTTCCGAATAGTGAGTCTGTTTATAGTTTATTTTTAGGAGAATGTCATGATGCAGCTGGTCATTTTGGTTAGAAGAAGACTTCGGCTAACTTAGTGCTGGGGTTTTGGTGGCCCTCTATGATGCAGAATGCAAAAAAGTACGTAGAAACCTGCCAGGTTTGTCAACGGGACAAACCTAGGACTCAAGCTCTGCTGGGGCTTCTCAAGCCCTTGCCGATTCCTGAAGGCCCTGGTCAGAGTGTGTCCATGACTTCATGGATACTCTTGTGACCAGCAGGATAGGCAAGAGGCATATCTTCGTTATAGTGGACCGTTTTTCTAAGTATGCAAGACTTATGCCAAAAAGTGCTAAAACTGACTATGTCATCAAACTGTTTCTAGAAAACTGGGTACACGATTTTGGACTCCCTACGTCCATAGTAAGTGACGGGGACATAAGATTTACCACCGAACTGTGGCAATCGACAGCTGAACAGATGGGCACAAAGCTCCAAATGACGTCACAAAATCACCCTGAGTCACCACCTGCTTCGGCATTATATTAAGCCAAGTCAGGATGACTGGGATGAGAAGTCACCTCTCGTGGCCAGTCTGTACAACAACGCTGTACACAGTACTACCAACATGACTCCCAACCAATTGCATCTTGGTTGGAAGCCCAGAACTGCACTTGATTTTTTTCTACCCGAAAGGCAGCCCACTGCAGCACCTGGCAGCATAGAGTTTGCTGTCGAGTATGAACAAATGCTGCAGCAGGCCGTTGAACATAATCAAAAATCTCAGGACTCCATGATTGCATCTGAGAATAAGCATAGACGGCCCTCTTAACTTTCAGGTAGGTGATAGAGTCTGGGTCAAGTCATCTGAACTGGGTCAGGAGCTGGGCATATCCAGTAAACTGATGCCACAATATTTCGGTCCGTTGGAGGTCCTAGATATAGTGGGGGATTAGATAGACGGACCTTCTTATGTGATTCACGTCCCACCTCATCTACGTACACATCCATTTTTCCACGCTTCAAAGCTGGCACCTTTCGCAGAGTCTGCACAGTTTCCTTCTAGACGGTCAATGCTGCCCCCAACCATGGATGGCGAAGTCGACATCGACGGAATCGTTGAGCATCGAGTGATGTCAATGCTTATACCACCGGGCAGAGGCCGCCCTGCAATACCGGGTCAGATTCAGACATCATCTGGATCCCAAGGAAGATCGGTGGTTCACTAGAGAAGAACTCGTGAGAACAGCACCGCAAGTTATCACAGGCTACAAAAGAGAACTAAAGGGGAAGATGCCTGCAGATTAGAAGACTTCTCAGAGGACTATCGAAGAAAAGGAGGAGGGAATGTGAGGATCTGTGTCCTCGGCAGGCCTAACGGGCCCTGTTGCGAATGTGCCCACTCTAAGTGAAGGTGGGCCTAACAAAATCACGAGTGGCCCTCAGCTGTCAATTTCGTATTTGGTGTCCAGGCAGTTTCGACGCGCCAGTTGGTTGAGGGAAATACAGGCTGAGCAGCAAGACATTCCAGGGCCTTCCAGGCCTTTCCAAAATGACGCAGGCCCTGGACGAGATTCGCAGGCTTATACACAGACAGTTGGGAGGCCCAGCCGAATGAGGCCCAGTAGCTGCAACAGAGGCACAGCATCCTGGGGCCTACCGGAAGCTTCTGGGCCCAGGCCCAAGCCAGCCAGGCTGTGAAGGCAGGCAGGCTGTTTCCATATAGGAAAGAGCTCGCTGCCTGGATCATCATTCAAGCACTTGCTGGCTGGCAGCAGCGCTGCTGGAGCTTCTGCTCGCGTGCTGGCTGCTAGCACTGGAGCGAGGTGCTGCGCACGTGCAGTCGTGTGTGGAAGCAGGGCGCTGCTGAGGGCTTGGTTGTACAGTGAGGCGCAGGGGTGGTCTTCGGGTGTACAGAGGGAAGATGTGGGAGTAAGTCAGGGGAGAGAGAGAAGGATGATGATGATGATGATGTGAGGGCACATACCTGGTATTGGCGATGGTCTGCATTGGGCGACATCATCAAGTACTTCGTGGGCTGCTGATGTCAACAGTTGCATTGTCAATTAGTAGGCAGACTGTAGCTGTGTAGGAAGTAGGCTGGGCGCCAAGCGCCAAGTAGGGAGATAGGGCCTGGACACTGGTGTTGGTGGTGGTGAGAGCAAGCTCTCATTGACAATGGTTTTCAGTGTTACGATTCTTCATTGGTGTTATATTGGTGCAATTCTGCTTTCTGGACACCGTGATACTACCTGGCCTTCAATGTGATTGTGCATTCTGGACATTGTCATCTCGCTACTGCTCATTTTCCTTGCATCTCCTCATAATCAGTAAGGCCGTGTAGTCTAACCTCTTTCAGGTCTGACACTCACTACCGTCTTCACCCGAATATAACGCCCTGTCATTATAGCTGTATTTGGCACAACTTTCAGTCCAGATGCAGCGATAAGTACCGGGCGTTTTATTCGGGTGAAGACGGGAGGTCGCGGACATCCACTCACACACGCCACCAGTACTCCCGGGCCACTTCCACCGCTCTTTCACGTCTTACACTCGCTAGGTCGACCTGGCTGTCCGGTTAGAGTAGCGGTGTAAGTGGGTGAGTGGAGAATGTCGGCAACTTAGGTTGGAGGAAGCCTGTGTGGGGCTACCGTCGAAATGTGGCGTCCGGGATGCCGCACCTGTTTGACAGTGGCGTGATCTAGTTTTACCTTTTGAGGTGTATCTTTGCTGTATCATTGATTTGCTCGGTCATCAGCTGTTTGTCTTCTACCTATTCCCCTATCACAACAACTTATGTATGCTCTCTGCCTTGAAGGCAACTGTGTTTGTGGTTCTACCAATTCCTATCCCAGGAATGTGTTTTGAGAGGAATAGGTAGGGGGGACAACTGTGAAATTGTGCTTCTACCTATTCCTATCCCGGCATTGTTGTGATAGGATATCACAGCAATGTTGTAATAGGAATAGGTAGGAGGGGCAGCTATGAAATTGTGCTCCTACCTATTCCTATCATATCAATGTTATGAGAGGACTAGATAGGGGGGTAACTGTGAAATTGTGCGTCTCCTATTCCTATCACAGCAATGTTCTGATAGGAATAGGTAGGTGGGGAGGGGGGGCAACTGCGAAATTGCGCTTCTACCTATTCCTATCAGAACTTTTGTATGCTCTCTGGCTTGTCCATTGTGCTTTCAGTTTGGTCTACTCACGCGTGGTCATAAATGAGAGCACGCTTACAATCTCACACTAGCACAAACTTAAATGTATCTGACCGTAACTACGGCCCTACTTGGATGTATCTGACCGCATTTATCTCCAGAAGTATGGAAAAAAGTGCTGGTGGGAGTATGCCCTGAGTTCTTGCTTCTCGAAAATTTTGTGTTCGCATTGGATGCTTCCTTGCACTATGGTCGGTGGCTCGACTGAAGAGAATGTATGACTGACCTTTTTTTTTTTCTTTTTTTTTTTTAAGATTGGTAGGTAGGGTGCAAAGAAACTTTGAATTGTCCGTTTGAGAAATTCGAATTGCCTGATATTATAATTATTAAAATAATATAAAATTAGTAAATTACGAATTTATAATGTATGCCTCCCTCCCATCTGATGATGGCTTCTGTAACTGGTTTGGCACAATTTGGTGGTGTGTTCTTCTTTCTTTGTCCTTTCGTTTCCTTTCGTTCTTTCCTTTTTTTTTAATTAAAAAATAAGATTTAGGCAGTGCAATAGTGCATTCTTCTAATTGAATGTGCAATGTGCATTTTCTGTAACTTCTGTTCCGCATGTTTTTTTTTGTATTTTGTACTATTTTCTTTCCCTCTTTGCTTTTTTTCTCCTTTCTTTTGCTTCCACCTGTTTTTTTTTTTTTTGCTTTCCTTCTTTGCTTTTTTTCTCTTTTTTCCTTTTCGCCTTTCTTTTCTGTTTTTCCTTTCCTTTTCTTCTTTTTTCCTCCTCTCCCCCCGCTCTTCCTTTGTTCTTTTTTTGGCCATTCACTGAATAGCAGGTTTAAGGAATGATGAGGTCCGCGAGTCGTTCGAGCTCGATACTTCTTACTGTGGGGCTCGCTTTCCGTGCAAATATATCAAGATCGTTCCTATCGCCGCTTACGGCAATAATTTCAACCACAGCATATGGTAAGAGGGGGKGGGGAGGGGGAGGGGAGCGGAGGGGGTGAATCGCAACAATCACTCTGCCAAGTCTGCTTCTTTAAGAATAATGTTTTCTAACTTTTCTTAATCTTTTTTCTTTTTGTGGTAGTCGACATCTGCCCGCATCCGGAGTTGGCTTCGATTTTGGGTGTTTTTTTTTTTTTTTTTTTGCTAGGCTACCAGAGTGGCCCGGGACCACTTGCCCGGCCAAGGCCAAAAAAATTGGAAAAAAAAATAAAATGTTAAAATTTAGTTTTTTTAACTTTTTTTTTTTTTTTTTGTAAAGAATTTCGATGTGACCGTGAAGGGGATATTTTTGCACCCTGGAGCCCAGACTTCCCATCTGCTTTTTAATTTCCTAACCCCATCCTCCCCCACCCCTTTATACACCTGTCCAATCCTGGCTGGTAAGGTGGGTGCGTTGAATCAGCTCTGTGCACTCCCCTTTTTCCCCTGCGGCCCCCCTCTCCGCCTCGCACCCTCCTCAAGTTTGAACTCCCCCATAAAATGTTGGGGAAAGGGTTTAAATGAGGATGGGTGGGGGGGGTGTGGGGAGGGGATCGGTTGTTGCGAGGGCCTGGGCGGTTGTCGGGCTCGCCTGTGTAGTGTTGTTGACGCCGTTGATGGAATGTTGCTGCTGCTTTGTAAGGCTTGGATAGTTTTTTTTCTTTCTTCTTTTTTGTTTCCTTTTTTGTCCTGTTAGTGACCTGATTACAGTTTGCATTTCTTTCTGTTGCGGTTTGCTGGGTTGGTTGTGAACTTACCAACCCAGCAAACCGCAGAATCTCTCTTGACATTTGAGAAAGAATACTTCTTTGCGGTTTGCTGGGTTGGTAAGTTCACAACTGTTGTTTGGATGTGAACTTACCTGTTGTGTGTGTGTCGGAGTTTGCATACCTGTCTCCCGCTCACCACAATTTCCCCTTTGTGCACAAGAAGTATTCTTTCTCAAATGTCAAGAGAGATGCAATTCTGCGTACTGCGATATTGCTCGAAAGGGAGGTGCTTTTGGTCTGGTTGTGTCAAGAATGTGACTTCCAGCATCTTGCTGACATACTCCCATGAGTTTGCGTCACATACAGGAGCTGTTTTGCTATCTATCTCAAACTGCCTGTCCCTGTTGTCCAAGTGTAGGACTTGGTCAGCAACCTCCCTGGGTTTGAACGATCGTAATGCATCCCACCAAGGGGGAGGAGGTTTGTGAGCAAGGGGGAGAGAGAGAGAGAGAGAGAGAGAGAGAGAGAGAGAGAGAGAGAGAGAGAGAGAGAGACTCCTTTTTGGGTTGGGGGGGGGGGGGGTGTAATTTTGCCACCATAAGTTAAGATATATGGCAAAATGTCCCTAAAAGATATGGGCACAGTGAAATGGCCTTTTGGGCTGACATGTGCAAATTCGCTTGGCCTTTTGCAATTGCACCTACGAAACTTGGCAACTGGCGGGGCATTTTGCAAAGTTGGGCAGCGTCCAGTAGGGGTACATTGCAAAGATGGGGTCCAACTGATTGCGGGGGTGTTTCGCAAAATGTTTTGTCATCGTCCACTTGTTATTGTAAATGATAGGCCAGAATTAACTGTCTGCTTTTCTCTGGTGTGGGAACTGTTCTGCAGGTTTGTAGAATTGAGAGGAGAAACGGATCCCGGCATTGTACAGGTAAATTCAGGCAGCATGAATGCATCTGGTTGAATATGCGGAACAGATGCATAGATTGGCCTTTTCTTTTTTCTGAGTAGTAAGGAGGTAGGGTGGGGGTGGGAGCCGAGGGGAGGATTTCCCTGGAGGGAAGAATTTGTATATATATATTTTTTTCCCCCGTCCGTGATCATGGAGGGGAGCCTTTCTTCCGAATCCTCCTTTTTTTTTTCAAGTCTGTGCTGGAGTGACAGTGAAAAAAAAAGAAAAAAGGAAAAAAAAGTTGTCCTTCGGGACATCCGTTAAAGTTGGAACGATACAGAGAAGATTAGCATGGCCCGTGCGCAAGAATGACACGCATAAATCGAGAAGTGGTCCAATTTTTTTTGAAAAAAAGAAAAAAGAAAAAAAGAAAGGGGGAAAAAAAAGACAGGGATGGCAAGGGATGCTACAATTTCACGACTGTTTTTTTTTTTTTGCTGTGCTTATGGCAGGTGCCTTTTCTGTGCCTGCGATTTTTTTCGATATTTGCTGGGCTACCAGCCGGGCCGCCCGGGTCACGCTATTTTCCCAGGTGGCCCGGCCGGGCAAGGACTAGGGAAGGTCCCAGCGAAAAAAGGAAAAACAAAAATTCCAAAAAATCCGAAAAACAACAATGTTATGCTGACAAATAACATGAACAACTTGTTTTATTTTATTTCTTATTTTAAAGCTGGGAACCGGGCCCAGTGTCCCTCACAAAATTAGGTGGGGCCCTCGGCGGGCAAAGCATCACCGGCCAAGCACATCGAGGGTACCACTAGATTTCACCGTGCTACCAACTCCAGTGGGAACTCACAATGATGAGGGAGAAGAAGAAGAGGGTGGACGCAGCGAGTGAAGCGGTCAAAGATCTGGAGGAGGTGCAAAGACTGACTCTACGATTGACCCCCCAGGTAGACCTCCAACAAAAGGTGGAGATCATTGCCCAAAGTGTTGAGCGTTTGGCCCCAGTGCAGGAACAACAATATGAGTTTAGTCGAAGTCAAGATATAGCTGTGCGTTCGATGCAGATGGGATTCCGGGACTTTGCCCGCGAATTGGTAGGCGCTGTGGGAGCCGAGGTGAATCATCGCCTCGAGAAGACCGAGTGTCGGCGCCATTGAAGGCGTCAAAGTGGCAGCTCCCGAGGAGGGCGAGCCGCGTCCTCGTAGGGAGCCAGTCAAAGTCAAGTTCCCTGATTCCTACAGTGGAAAGAGGGAAGAAAACTTTGGCAACTGGGAGGCCAATGTCAAGACCTATGTGCATCTGCAGCAGGTCTCCCTGGATCAGCATGTCTTGATTGCGATCCGTGCGCTTAGAGATGAAGCTGCCAGTTTTGCAAGGTCCCTAGTTCGCGCCGCCAACTGCAATGATGATGCAGTTGCCTATTCGTCATTCACCCCCCTCACTGAGTTCATGAAATTGCTGCGCGAGCGATTCACTGATGTCGCTCGCAGTGTTAGAGCCTCAGATAAGCTGCAGACAATCCATTCTCGCAAATGGAAGAGTGCCAGAGCACTTAGGGTGTCATGGATGAGCTAGTGGCTGTTCCTGACCATGGGGTCACAGAGACCCAATTGGTCAGCCTCTTCTATCGAGCTATGCCCGAAGCCTTTCGAGGGCATTTCTTCGCGAAAAGCGAAGATCCCACCACTACGTATGATTCCCTTAGTCGTGAAGTGGTGGCTTTTGAAGCCAAGTCTGTGTCAGTGTCTACTTTCTGGCACAAAGACTTAGATAAGGGAAAGCAATGGAAAGGCCGCACTATCTCAGGGCAGGTAAAGACCAAGGACAGCCTTTGTCCTGACCTTAGATGAGGGTAGTGTGGACGAGATCCCGTACGAGCAGATTGAGTGGGGGTTAGTGGAGGAGGACAGCTGTGTGAGCCAGGGGAGGACTTACGCTGCTGCCTCGGCTGGAGGGAGGCCGCAAGGAGGAGGACGAGGCCAGGGCCAAGGGAGCCGGTTTCAGGGCGATCAGGGGGTTGGCGGCAGAGGAGGAAACCGCCAAGCGGGAGGAAGGGGTCAAGGTCCCCCGCAAAAACGTCCTAGGAATAGGTCTCCCTATAGGGTTGGTGGATGGCACCCAGGGCTACCCCAGGGTAGGCCTTGGGAAAGTCTGGGTCTGGATCAGAGCTTATGGCAACAGCGTCTGGACCGGGGCCAGTGCATTTTCTGCGGTGACCCGGGCCATATCATTAAATACTGTCCTAAGTATAGAGAGACCCTTACGGCTGCTCAAGGGCCAAAAGGCAGCCGCCGGTAGGGGTAGCAACTGCCCCTACCATTAGGCCATGTGGGGAACATAGCGTTAGCCGGCAGGAGACTCCCACACCACATGTGCCTATGGCAGAGGTTGCAGGCCGGTGTCTAGACAGCTGTCCGGAGACTGCTTGTGTTAGAGTCTCTCTAGACACCTCCCTCACAGGCGTGGCCGAAGAATTGAAGGAAAGGATGCCCGCCTGGGCCAAGATGTAGAGATTTTTAGAAGTAGAGTAGGGGCCCTAGTAGATTCAGGGGCTACCCGCAGCTATATTAGTAGAAAAGCGCTGCAAAATTTGAAGCTGGGACTTAAAGTTCAAAAGCTAGCAGACCCTATAGTCAGTATCCTCGCAGACAACCGTACGATGGTTGTAGAGGATTATGTAGAGGGAGTCCAGGCGTATTTCCGCCTAGAGAAAGATGGGAAAGTGGAGAAGGTCCTCCACTCCCTAAGTCTCCTTGTAGAAGACAGCCTCCCATTTGATATTGTCCTGGGGATGGATTGGGGAGAGGCAGCCGGGGCCACACTCCGTTTGAAGGAGCACGAGTGTTGGCTCCTTGATCCTTCAGGCGAGGCTAAGACTGCCCGCCTGTTCCATGTGTCCGGAGTAGAGAACCCCCTGGCACATTGCTGCCTTAGTGCACCTGCATTCGCGAGGCTCGTGAAGAAGGATCACCTAGAAAAACAAGTTTTTGTAGCCTATGTAAGGCTAGTAACTGAGCCCAAGGAAGAGAAGCCTATAGACCCTAAGATTGCCAAGCTGCTGGAGGAGTTCAAGGACCTAGCTGAGCCGCCGACAGGAGTAGTACCGGGGCCTATCCAGCACCGCATTGAGATAGAGCCTGGCAGTAGAACTCCCAAAGGAGCCGTGTATAGGATGTCCCCGCGGGAGTTAGAGGAGCTTCGCAAGCAATTAGACGAGCTCCTTGAGAAGGGTTGGATTAGGCCCAGCTCGTCTCCTTTTGGAGCGCCTGTTCTCTTTGTCCCCAAGAAAGAGGGAGACCTGAGGATGTGTATAGACTATAGGGGTCTGAATGTTGTTACAGTGAAGAATGTTGAGCCACTGCCTAGGATAGACGATCTTTTAGATCGAGTGCAGGGGGCAAAGTACTTYTCCAAGATAGATTTSAAGTMCGSAWATCATCAGATAKAGGTGCATCCTGATGATCAGTATAAGACAGCCTTCCGGACTAGATATGGGCACTATGAGTTTATAGTGATGCCCTTTGGACTAACCAATGCGCCAGCGACGTTCCAGCGCTGTATGAACAATTTGTTTAGGCCGTGGTTAGATAGATTTGTTGTTGTCTACTTAGATGATATCTTAGTGTTTAGCAAGACCCTCCAAGAACATCAGGGTCATCTCAGGCAGGTCTTGGAGAAGCTGAGAGAAGCTAACTTCAAGATCAATGCAAAGAAGTGCGATTGGGCGAAGACCCAAGTTTTATATTTAGGCGACATCTTAGACGGAGACGACATTAAGCCAGAAGATTGTAAAATCGCAGTGATTAGAGATTGGACCACGCCACGTACGCTGACAGAGTTGCGATCGTTTTTGGGCTTAGCTAACTACTATAGGAAGTTCGTGAGGAACTTCTCCACTATCGCTGCGCCCCTTCGCAGATTGTTGAGGAAGGAAACCATCTGGAAGTGGGATAGGGACTGCACATCTGCTATGAAGAAGTTGAAGCAGGCACTAATAGAATATTCAGTCCTTAAGGTAGCCGATCCGTCCTTGTCCTTTGTCGTCACTACGGATGCTAGCCAGTATGGCATAGGTGCGGTGTTGCAGCAAGACGATGGCAATGGTTATAGACCCGTAGAGTTCATGTCCGCTAGGATACCTTCAGAGAAGGTTGCGACATCGACCTATGAGAGGGAACTCTACGCTCTCAGGCAAGCATTAGAACACTGGAACCATTACTTGCTTGGGAGGCACTTCAAAGTCTATTCTGACCACGAGACATTGCGATGGTTAAAAACGCAGGCCAAGATGACACCTAAGCTTACTAGGCGGGCCGCAGAAATAGATCAATATGATTTTGAGCTCCAACCGGTCAAAGGGAAGTATAACGTAGTTGCGGACGCTCTGAGTAGGAGAGCTGATTACTTTGGGGCCATAGTCCATTATCTAGATATAGGGTCAGACCTACAACAGAAAGTTAAAGAGGCGTACTCGCAGGACCCCATCTATAGTGAGCTCCTTAAAAGAGGTAAGGAAGCCTCAGAGTCCGAGCCATATTACCGCACTACTGATGGGTTGTTGTTTGAGAAGACTAACATAGTAGACCGTTTGTGCGTCCCCAACAGTGAAGAGATCCAGAGTCTGATCTTGGGGGAATGTCACGGCACCGAAGGACACTTTGGTTGGCAGAAGATCTTAGCCAACCTGATGCACGCGTACACCTGGCCAGGAATGAAAAATGACTGCATAGAGTATGTTCGCAGTTGCAAAGTCTGCCAGAGGAATAAGTCAACTACGCGTGCCCCTTTAGGTCTTCTCAGACCTTTACCTATCCTTGATCAGCCGGGAGATTCAGTGTCCATTGACTTCATGGACACCGGCGTTAAGAGTAGGCATGGCAAGAGCCAAGTTATGGTCGTAGTAGACAAATTTAGTGAGTATGCTATTTTCGTTCCCTTGCCGTCGGAAGCCAGAACAGAATTAGTAATTCAGAAGTTCTTTGATCACGGGGTCAGTGAACACGGGGTTCCGCTGTCTATAGTTAGCGATAGAGATACCCGGTTCACAAGTCTAAACTGGCAGGAATGGATGCGAGTCTACGGATCCAAGTTGTTGATGTCATCTGGCCGTCATCCAGAGACGAACGGTCAGACTGAACAGATGAACAAAATCCTGCAGCAAGTCCTGCGCATGTACATTAGGCCTGATCAAGTCAATTGGGATGAGATGCTTCCCAAGGTAGCCAGCACATACAACAACAGCCTGCACCTGTCAACCTGCTGCACTCCCAACAAGCTCCATAAGTCCTTTAGACCACGAAGACCATTTGAGGGACTTAACCGGGATCAGATTCACAGGCTACCGCCTGGTACAAGGGAGTTTGCGATTCAGCACGAGAAGGAGATAGCAACTGTTGCTGAGAATCTCAGGAAGGCCCAGCACCGCATGATCGAACAGGCGAACAAGCACCGTCGCCCTTCACAGTTCCAAGTAGGCGACTTGGTCTGGGTCCAGTCTAAAGAGTTTGCGCCTGAAGAGAACATTTCGCAGAAGTTACTGCCTACGTATAGAGGACCGTGGCCGGTTCTGGAAGTCAAGGGCGGCGAAGATGGACCGTCCTATACCATAGAAATCCCAGCACACCTCCACACTTACCCAGTTTTCCATGCATCGAAGTTGTTACCTTGTCAAACAAGTGATCAGTTTCCATCCCGTAGGTCTATGATTCCACCAGATATGGATGGAAGGTATGACATCGATGGCATAGTGGCTGAAGATGTATTCAGGACCGGAGGTAGAGGTCGTCCACAGAAACAGTACAAGGTTCATTTTGCTTATCAAGAGCCAGAAGATGACCGCTGGTTTACGGGATCTGAACTCCTAGAGACAGCTCCCGATATAGTCCGGCCCTACGAAAGGCAACAGAAAGGTAAAGGTCCTGCCTTGGACTGAAATTTTCTCGGAGGACCTCCAATTTAGGCCGGCGGGAGTGAAACGGTATTCACCACTTCGCAGTAGCTGATGCAGATCCCAGGGCTCGATCCCTAGTTCCCCACCTTACCTGTGTACAGTAACTGTGTCAACCCGTAGATTTGAACCTGCGACCTGTAGGACCGCCAGTGGTAGGTAGGATCTCGTAGGTTACAGGGTATAGGGGATTCGAACTGTAGACCTGTCGGGTAGGAGTCTAGACAGTCCAGAGGTTGTAGCTGTAGACTGTCCGAAGGGTCAAAGTCGTAGCTGCTACTGACCTGAAAGGGCAGAGTCGTAGCTGCTACAGCACCGAAAGGCCAGGTAGAGAGTTCTAGAAGTGGCCTTTCGGAAGTCAGCCCACTATAGGTCTAGGCAAGTGGGCAAGTGGTGGAAGTCCACCACGCAGAGTCAGCAGTCCCAGTCCAGCCAGTCCGGTCCAGTCAAGCAAGTACCGTCTGGGACTGTGCACACCGTGGGCCAGGGAAGCAGGGCAGACCCACGACTCACAGAAGTATAAATCAAGAGGCTGAGCACAGCCATTCATTTGTTCCTGCGGACGCCATGTGGAAGCGCTGCCTCAGCGTCTTGTGCGAGGAGGTCTGCAGTGTGCCCGAAGTCGAAGTGGGCAGAGAAATGTAGTATAGCGATAGGGTAGTGGCAGCTAGCGCTGCCATAGCTGTAGAGGGGTGTGTGTGTGTTGTGTGCGTGTACAGAGCGTCGTGTGTGGGATATCCAGGGTGATCCGGTGTGTGAACAGTGGATGTTGGGCGCTCAGTCGCCAGAGCCAGTGGAAGTGAACTTACCTGGAAGCCATATCTCTGTGTACTGTGTGGGCGCATGTCGCCAGTTTGTTGTGCTGCTGTTCACGTGCATGAAAAGTGTGAATAAGTTGAGTCTGATTGCACTGCAAAAAATCTTTGCAATGTCACGATCAGTCCGTCTCCTTGCGATCTGGGCAATGTTGAGAAAAGTGTGTCGTTACCAACTGGCCTACCTCATTCGGTACATCCCCCCTGACCTGAATTGTTGAAATACAGACCTGAGTTCGACTAAAATTCCGACGCCTCCAACTCCGAGTAAAAAGGGCATGGGGGGCGAGGGTGTAGTCTATGCACAAAGAGTTTAACACGGCGTGAGACCTATTCGACGCCTCTGCCCAGTCCATGTTGGGCCTCTTCTGGGAAGTATTCTCCATACGCCTCCATATTGAGGCTTGCATCGTCTACATAATACCAGGCGTGGTGCAGGCTTTAGCAGGAGGGGCGCACATCCGCCTGTGCAGCATCCTTGTTTTCAGCACCCTTTTTGTTCCTCCCTTCCCGGCGAGCACCTTTCTCCCCAGCACCAGGGACAGCTGAAGCAGCTCGCACATGCCCTCCTCTTTCCTTTACTCCGCCAGCCTGATCGATGATATCCTGCAGGTGTGGAGCAGCTTTTTTTTTTTTTTTTTTTTTTTTTTTTTTTTTTTTTTTAAATGTAATCTGCCTTGTCCTCATATGGGGGCCAGCTGCTCTTTTTACTATATTCTTCTCTCAAATTTTTTTATTTTTTTTATCTCACAGTGACTCACACTACCTACCATGAGCTATGTACTTCGGTTTAGGATCTTCCTATGTCCGACAGAGGAACGGACTTCAATGTACTAACCGAGACTAAGCTATCCTAACTTCCTAAGGTTATTGGTCTACGCCTACCTAACTCTGGTCTGTGTGCGGAGCAGCACCCAAGCTCCTAACACCTGGCTCGGGCTGGAAAGACAGACTCAACCTCCACAACAAGCCAGGAGGGACAAGCCGACTTTCTCAGTCGGTAAACCCGAAGTATGCCACACAGGAGGTCGTGGGGAATCAAATGGATACCGTGGGGAATAGAACCCATGACCTCCTGTGTACCACTTACGTGCTCAACCAACTCAGCTTCCGTCTTCCCCCGAACACAACGCACCCTTATTTTGGCTGTATCTGGCCGGAGATATAGCTTGTATACATTCATTTTTAGGGTGCGTTATGTGCGGAGGAAGACGGTAGGCCGCTTGGCCAGCTTTTTTTTTTTTTTTTGGTGGTCCACCGGAAGGATCAGATGTATATTGAACTGATAAGAACAGATACTACGCTTGATCTTTGCCACAGATACTATGCTTGATCTTGGGCAAAAAAGGCCGATAAATGTATCTGGCTGCAATTACGGCCTCGTCTGGACGAATCTGACTGCAATTACGGCCTCACCTGGACGAATCTGACAGCGTGCAGCATCTTCAGTGCACCGTCATCTGTCATTTTCACCCCATCCTTGCAAGAAGGTACACAACTTACAAAGTGTTGTTGAAGGTGTACAGCCTTAGCCAAACTGTCGCAACAATGGATCCTTCATTGCTGTGAACTGCTGATTACAGAGCCTGAACGTCACCCAGCACTACCCCCTCCCTCTCCCATTTCGCTCTGCCTCCCTCTGCTCAATCCATCTGAAGCATGTCTTTTTCGCATGCTGCAGATTCTGGTCGCGCTTTGAGAGTTGCAGGATGAGTGCAGGTCTCGTGCCTTTCCTTGTTCTCGCCCTTGTCCGTTGTGCTCCCCACATCGCTCAACGACGTCATGACATTCAGCTCAGCTTCCTGCCTCTGCTCACTCCATCTGAAGAACGTCTTCTCACTTGCCAATCCTGCTCATGCGTTTCTAGTTGCAGGCTGGACTCACACTAGCACTTTCCGAAATGTATCTGCTGCAATTACGGCCTCCCCTGGACGAATCTGACTGCAATCACCTCCAGAAACAAATCCTAACGTGAGCATAATGCTCTAAGACACCTTTGTCTACACTCCCCGGCCACCTCGCAGGTCGGTAAGAGTGGGACCCTGTCACAGTGGCATAACATTCTAATTGTTATGTTGGCCACTAGCCGGCTCGAGCCTGTTGTTGCTCAGTATGCATACACTAGTAGCACTCTATGTATCTCTACATAGCATGGACTCTACCTTCAACTTGTTTCAAGGTGAATATACTAACCGCCTGAAGTTGTTTCACATATAGTCTCTGAGGATCCTACACAGACATATGTTGGTTTCCTGCGGATTATGCCCATTAATAATCCAATGGCAAGAACACGGTCCAGACTCCAAACCATCCCGAAATCCGGTCCCCAGATGAAATCCTGGTCCATACGGCATCTTCGTCTTCGTCTGGGGGCAAAATTAAAAGAAGCCCTTCACAAATTTGCATGTGTGTTTCCAGGGCTACAAGCCAGGTGGCCCAGCTGGCTTGTTCTTGCATATGATCAGGACCCGTCCCAGTGTTTCGCACGAGTACGCGAGCCAATTAACACAAAATCGCAACCAGGTCCAGCGCACCTGCAACTGCCTGGGTATTGATCTGGGGGAAAAAATGACGCCCCTGATTATCTTGTTCCAGATACAAGGGTCCGTGATCGCGGAAAATCAGTGGGATCATCTTCCCTCACTGTATGCCTATGGAGGTCCAGCCAGGGAGGCATAGAAACATTCGAATTCAAATGCTCATTTGCACCTCCTGTTAAATGCCTCTTCTGTCTTCTTCTTCCTCTTCTTCTGCCTTCTTCCTCCTCTTCTTCTCCTTCTTCTTCTTCCTTTTTCTTCTTCTTCTGTCTTCTTCTTCTCTGTCTTCTTCTTCTTCTTCTTCTCCACCTCCTTTGGTGCCATGATGTCGATGAGCAATGCGGGGTGCGGGGAGACATCGCGGACCAAGGACAAGTGTCAGGCAAAGCAGGCGCCCCCTCCGAGAGCGCAGTGCGGCGATGAGGCCTCTCCAACCGTTTTTTGCAATTTCCCGAGTTCGAGAGGTTCGAGAGCACTCTCGAACATTTTCCCGTTTTCGGGATGGGTGTGGCGAGGCCCAAAGGTTCTTTTGCGGACCTCCCCCGCGCGCAACCATTTTCGGGTAGAAAAATGACAAAGGTTTTCCCAGGAAGTGCACGTGGTCACACTGCTTACCCCAAAAAATATATAGCGGTTTTTTAGGTTTTCTTTTTTTCAATTATGCTGACCTAACACTCACGGCTGTTTTCCTCATGCATGAATGAAATACCTCACGGAGAAAGGAAAAACCTAAAAGGTAATTTGAGACCACCTTTGGAGGTGGTGTCAAAAAGGGTCCTCCCCTGGCCCAGCAAGCTGCTGAGAAAAGGGTCACCAGAAAGTGCAGAAAGCACATTTGGGTAGCGGGCCTCTCCAATGTGACCTGAAAATTGCCTCAAATTTTGGGATTGAAGGTCATGTATCATACTGTATCAAACTGTGTAAGGGACGCTGGACCCATTTTCCAGCAGGTGACGCTCCCCACCAATAGATGGAGCCTCTCCCCAGGTGCTAGTGATGTCTGCTCTAAACAGCATCGCTAGCACTGGAGGGACTGTTGTAAAAAAAAAAAAAAAAAGGACCCCGTGACAACAATGACTATTTTTCGCACATGGTGTATATGCGCGTATTATGCGGTTGTGGTTACTTACGACAACAGGCGGTTACTTACGACAACAAGCGGTTAAGAAGCGGTTACCCATGGCCACGGTTGAGAAGAAAGATAACTGACGAGTTGTCCGATACGGAGTACATGTTAAATTACTTGTGGAAGTAAGTAATCAACGACTCGTAGGTGAAAATCCGACCAGGAGTCTGGCACAGTCATGCTGTTTTTTTGTTTTTCTTTGAACAATCAGTGGCAGCAGTTCATTAAACAGGAGATGAGGCCCGGGACCTCATAATTCTACCTGGAGTCATGTCTTTTTTTAAAGGGAAAATTGCATCTGTACCCCACATAAAGGTGAGAATACCGGCTGTACCCAGTCCCAGTGCCCAACTTGCATGTATACCCGGCCCCGTTCAACTTTGCATTTTAGTACCCGACTTTCCCCTGCATGAAATTGTAGGCATACCCAGTCCCGCAGGCCCCCGAGTTCCAGGCAACGAAATTATGCCCATGCCCAGAAACGGGCTGGCAAAATTGCGGGTGTACCCACAGCCAGAAGCTGGCTTTGGATGGCAACCACAAACTTATGCTCATGCCCACCACGTGGACCCTTGTGGCCCAGCGGCTGCTGGGTATGAACATAATTTCAGGCATCCCATAGTCGGGTACATCAATAATCCGGCTGGTCCACCTCAGGGCATACTCACACTAGCACGTACAATCGCATATTATATGTGAGCCAATTTGTGATGACATGGCACTTCCCACTCACACAACACACTCGTATACATCACAAAACAGAAAGGACACAGTCTCTACCTGCTCTAGGAATGCCATTATACAGGCTGAGGGGTCACACATCACGATGCAGAAAAATCCATCCCTTTTTCCTGTTTTTTTTTTGTTGGGAAAAGTCGTAAAACCTCCCCGCGACGAAACCTTCGTATCCATTTCCCCCCAAACGGGAAAAAAAGTGCCGCAGGTCCCAAATCACTTTTGGGGCCATTTTTACCCCCTGGCTGTGCGGGCAAACACCGCTGTGTAAAAATGGCGGGAAAGTGTTTTGCAGGGTGCAAAAATGATGCCAAAAGTGATTTTGGGGCCTGCCGCACCTTTTTCCCCGTTTGGGGGCAAATGGATACAAACGCTTCTTTGCGGGGAGGTTTTATGGATTTCCCCTTTTTTTTTTGGTTCTTACGAGATGTACCCACCAACCGTCGAATTCTTTTTTTTTGTTTCCAGAAAGAAACAGGTCTAAAAGAAATGCGCAATTGTGGGGACCTCCAGAGGTTCCCACAAAATACGTAACCCCGTGGATGTCCAAGCCGCTGACATTTACGTGCCCATTTGCGTGAAAACGCAAGATACCGTAGCCCTTGTGATTCAAAAAATCACCTACAATTCACAATTTTATGAAAATGCGTGCTCGTGTGAGTATGGGGCTCGTTCGACACTCCCCGGGGCCCAAAAATCCCCAAGGAAATGGTCGTTCCACTCATCCTCGGGGAAGATTCCGAAAAGAAAATGTGAAAACATTTCCTCGTGGATTCCTCAGGGCTACAACCATTTTGGCGATTTGGAGGTCGAGCTTCCGAAAGAATCGGGGCGTCGACGGCAGCTCCCTCGACGACATTTTTCGATCCCGTCTGGTCCATCGGTGGTCCTGCCTGCGTCTCCACGGACATGTTGGGTCGCCAACGTTCAGCTTCACAGGGTTCATCGTCAACGGTTACCGTTTGCGGCCTGCCGGCATCCCCGACGTCCAGAAGGTGCCGTCTCGCATCGTTGCATTTGGCACGCCGCGGGAATTCTCCCAACGGTCGGCAGATAGGAATATTTCAGGCGGCACTGTCTCTCCCAATGACGCACTGCCATTCGTGATGGAAGACGACACCTTCCGTTTGTTGGAACAGCCGTTTGCAGCACTGTACTTCGCTGTTATATTGGCGCCCGCGTTGTCTTCCGTCTGCTGCCGTCGTCGTGTACTGTTTCATGGCTGACGTGTTCCGCAGGCTGCCGCTGCTGCTCCTGGTTGTCCTGTTGCTGCTCCTCTTGGTTGTCTTCCACGTGTGTATCCTCGGGAACGTACTGCGGCGTTGAGGCAAAAGAAGGTCTTCGATGAAGGACGGCAGGACGGAGGCACGACAGGCAATCGCCAGGTCCGGAGGGGATCAGGTCGGCGGGAGGCCGTGCAGGGGAAGCCCGTCGACCGTTGGGAGGGCGTCCCAGCGGGTTGGGTATGAGGCATTGCCACCGCACTTGCAACCACTCCCCGGCTCATCAGACGAGGAGGAGGAGAGACGGCCACGCACCGTGTCGTTGGGCAGCGGATCGACGCAGGAGTGGGCAGCCACGAAGCTATGCGGGACGGGCTGCGGCGTGTACGAGCAGTCGTTCACTGAACTCCTTCGCCCGGGCCTTAGCGGCGACGAAGGAGATGGCCGTATCAACCTGTCGTTTGGTCTGTCCACCGGGCGGTCCTCAACTCCATCGCGCACAGTCCTCGTGCACCCCCACCCCGACGACGACGGCGGGCAATTGACGGCTGTCGACCGATCATCGAAGACGAGGGCGTTGGCGCACGAAACGTTCACCTGGATTCAGACCATGTACAAGCTCCACAAGCCTTGTGATATCTCGGCTCTCTTGCCTATCCTCCCCGTGCACATCTGTTGCCCAACGGTAGAGATCCTCTAAGGCAGTGGCCACAGGGCTGCTTGTAGGCACTGATGCATGACACAGGACAACCTTGACGAGCACCTTGGCAATCAGGCTGTCAGCCTCTTCATGCAGGCGGTTCTGCCACTCATCAAGCCCTAGACACGTCGGCAGTGTAGGGAAGGGTCCACGTAATACAAAATGCTTGACCAGGGAAGGAAGAAGGATGCGGAGTAGATGATGGCAGACAAAACTGTGATCGTTCTGATGCGATTCGTGGGCACAGGGATGGATGACGTAAGAGGTTATGCGTGCTGCATACACCCTCGCTAGGAGGTTGTTTACTGCCCTCTCAAAGTGCTCCAGCTGGTGTTTTGGACTCTTGCCGGCAATGGCAGGAGCAAAGATGGCGTCCTTGAACAAATCAAAACCCGGCCGCCAGGCGGGGTTTCCTATAGATTCAAGGATTTCGAATAGAAGGATATGAAAATTCCCCATGCCTGTGAACTGATTGAGGAAGGAACTAAGTATGGTGTTCCGCTCCGCTGGGGAGGTTCTCAAGCCATGCGTACCTGGGCGAACCAATACTCCTTCCCTCTGCTCGGGTTGCAGCTCAACTTGCAGCTCAAGATTGGAATGCAAGCTGTTGAATAAGGTCACGAAAAATGCCTCATTGGCTCTCGGCTGTGACAGCATGTCAAATACCTCATTTGATTTGATCAGCTCTGCAAAGAGTCGTGCTGCAGCCGCCGCGCAATGATTGGCGTGGGTGCCAGCGTCATCGGCCCAGGGTTTCTCCCTCCTGTGCGGAACCCTCACCATATGATCCATGAATTGGTGATCTTCCTCGAAGAAGCGGACTGATCGACTGACACTCACCTCGGCATTGAGCATCAGTGTAAGGCAACTGACCCCACCTACAGACTCCCAGATTTGCTGCTTGAGAGCGATCTGCTGCGTTGATGTTGCAAACAGATCCCGCAGTGTCTCTATGGTCTCGCACGCAAACCAGTCGAGCTCCCTGGAGCTTAAAGCTTGCCTCCAGTAGCACAGACACTGCAGCAGAATCTGTGCTACCTGTGCGTCTACATCCCTGATCCCCTGGGAGATGAGGATCTTAGCCAGGTGCAGGTTGCAGAACGGTGCCGTGATCATTGAGTCAGAAGTAAATTCACTAAACCGATTCACCAGCAACTTCAGCTTTGCTCTCACGTCATCCGCTCTCCCCAAGTCGCCGATCAGGGCCATAGGCTGAGGGAAATCGTTCAACAGTTCGTCATCGAATCGATGCCACTTGATCATCCTTCGGGACCAGAGAGAGGATAGAGTCCGGACACAGTCGGTCACTATGCTGCTTGACAGATTCGGCGATCTGATTGCAGCGTCGAGCAGGATGTCCACCGTTTCCAGTCTACGTAGAGCAGAGTTCACGGCCTGCGCCCAGACAGTGTCCGCTCCATGGAAATCAGGGATTTCTGTCTCCAAAGACCACCCCAGTGGACAAAGTGTGGTGAAACTATTGCTCAGTTGCATTTTATAGTATATCTGCTGCTGGGCGCCTCTTCCTTCAGCTGCTTCGTCTCCCCCTGGAATGCAATGACTGACTTGCACCTCACCGCATTCCTGCCCCTGTGTCATGTCTGTCCTTGCCGTACCATCTCCTGCAGCCTGGCACGAAGGGCAAAGTCGACGGGTCTTGCGATCATGGTGATGAGCGTGTATGTCACTTGCTGCATGAGCGAAGGAACATATCGCAGAGAGAGATGCGTCCCCAAGGTCGCGGTACTGTCACACGGCTGTGAGTCTGAGACGCTCGTGGAGAACTGTTTTATCAAACTGTCGAGCAGGTGGACCGTACATTAGCGGAAGTCGTCTTCCTCCAGCATACGGAGTATGCGGTGCTGTGAATCGAAACCTTCTCCGATTCTTCCTGGAGATGGTTGCCAGGCAAGGACGGAGAGGCTTGAGGCGAAGCCGGCAAGGATGGAAGCAGCGATCTTGACGTACTCTGAATTCGGTGGGGAGCTCTTTATCACTCGCAGCATTGCCAGATACCCTTGAGCGCGAGCAAAATCCCGACTTGCATCAACGTCAGTCTTGCAACGGCTGGCCTGAGGCAGGTCCTGGATGTGCTTGGCCATTTCGCCTGAGTTGAACGCATTGCATGCTTTCACCTTGTTCCGTCTCGAAAGGTCTTCCAACGACGCCAGCGCCATGTTAATCTTCTTTCTTGTCATAGTCCCCCGTCTACGATCAGGAGTGTCGTCGTACAGGTCCGACAAGTCCTCTAGCACCATATCTACCAGCTCCTTCACACTGTGGAACCAGTAACCAGGGAGCCCGCAGTCCCCTATGTTCGAAAGGGCCTCCTCTGGTGGGAGAGAGTAATGCCGATTGCCATGAATATACCACGTCAGCCCACTCTCCCTCTGTAGCGGACCCACCAAGTGTGGTGCTCCGCTGGTGACAGAGATGGAGATGGAGGAAGAAGGAGGGAGCAAGGTGCACAGCGCAGCTCCCCACGCAAGACTCCAACGCACGTACTCCAAAATGTGCAAGTGAAGAATGAGACTGAAAATAGACAATGACTGGGGTATACCCCAGCGGACTGACGGGACTGGACTATACTGGCTGGTACCGACAGAGGTACCGGCCTGGACTGGCCTACCCCGAATACAACACAGGCCTGTGAGAACAGGCCAAGGGGCTGGTCTCACAGGCCAACCCGAGGTCCGCTACACGATCCTCAGCCTGTGATGGATCGCCTAGATACAAACATGCTTCCGCCAAGAAGCGGAACTCTACCAAAGWAMASAAAACCTGAGTAGTCTAGGATGCGGAGCAAGCTCCATGCTGAGTCCATGCGATGCAACCTAGGATATAAAATGTCACAAAACAGCAATGTCACAGCTAACAGCCTAAGTGAAAGCAGAAGCAACTAACTAACATACATGTCCTAGGAAAGCAGAAAGTAGTGACAACTAGATCCTAGAATGTTGGAGGCACTAGCCTCAGTCTGGTAACAACTGACTAGTGTATAAGTCCTAAGAACAGCAAAAGCAGAACAACTAAATCCTAGAAATGTCAGAGGGAGTAGCCTCAGTCTGCGAGCAACAAAGCAACAACACGTCTATCATATGTCACATGAGAAGTGTGTCGCAAACCAAAGGGTGGGATGGTCTCTGAGGGTGGCGAATGCAGCCTAGGGGTCGAAAACTCCTAAGGGCATCCACACATAGATAACAGGGAGACACATGTCATCAGGCTCAAGGAGGGTAGGGAACTGAGAGCGAACAGAACCAATGACCCTAACACCATCAGGGCGGGTAATGCTCGACTAAGGGGTGACCGCTATGGAGGGTCGACCATGCAAAGGAACAGGGGGAGCCTGGTATACTGGGCGCACCTAGATGAAGCATGCGGGGCTGCCTAACTAGGGCGTGAGGGTCGGCGAAGGGTAGAAAGATGATGGGTGAGGGAATCATGCAAATGACTCCTAAAGTGAGGGAAGTCGGAGTTAGATCCATAAGATGGGAAGCCAGGGCAACGCTACGGTCCCGAGGCCTATGCGTATACCAAGGGAGAGCCCAACTCAGAGGAACCCGGCTAAAGGGAGACCATCCCGATGCCTATGCGTATACCAAGGGAGAGCCCAACTCAGAGGAACCCGGCTAAAGGGAGACCATCATGCGACACAAGCAGGGTACTGTACAGGGTAGAGTGGTAAGAGAGTGGCGACGTCTGAAGTAGGCAGAGCTGATCGTGATGAAGTCCATGAAGTTGCCAATGACGTCCACGATGACAAGTCCGGAATGCTGTCGAGGAAGAGCCGTAGCGTCGACGAGCTGAAGTTGCAAAACTGATGTGGATGGAGTATTGAGAAGTCAAAGACGTGGGAAGGTAAGTCAGAGTCAATCGTCGTATCGAGCAGGACGACGACGAGTGCGCTGTGGACGCTCAGAAGCATCCGGCTGCTGCTGAAGGTCTGCCTCAGATGGAGCAGGCTCGACTTCAGCGGTCTCCTCAGCCGGAGGAGAAGGAGGGTCAGTGGGCTGAGGAGGAGCAGTGAACCCAGCACGACGAGCACGGTCATAGGCACGCACCAACATGCGAGCGTGCTGCAAGTGCTCAAGGGGCTCCCAGGTAACCCTTCCAACGTACGAGATACTCGACGTGGGGAGGGTTGTCGTCGGTGACTCGGCGACCAATGATGTCTGAAACGAGGAACTCCTCGTGACCGTCCACCATGATGGGTGGAGGGCGCTCGTATGGTCGTCCAGCGAAACACTTAGACGGTCTGCGGTAAGGACGCAGTAACGAGACGTGGTAGACATCATGCACACGAGCCTGGCGTAGGTAGTCGGGCAGCTTCACACGAAAGC